TGAGTAGCTGAAACAGGAGTGTGAGGGAGACTTCACTGTATATACTTTGGTGACGTTTGATTTTCAAACCATGTGAATGGTTTCAAATGTACCTTTAAAAAAATCAGCCGGGCTGGCCGAGTGGCTCAGTTGGTTAAGAACGCAAGCTCTGAGCAACAGGGTCGCCGGTTCGATTCCCACATGGGTCGGTGATCTGCGCCCAAGCTGAGCTGCCGCTGAGCTGCCAACAGGTGGCAAGATGGCTCAGCTGGTGAGAGCATGTGCTCCTAACAACAAGGTTGCCAGTTCAACTCCCACATGGGATGGTGGGCAACACCCACCCACAACTAAGATTGAACACTGCACCTTGAGCTGAGCTGCCCTGGGCTGCTGACCAGTGGCCAGATGGTGACTGGACTTGGATCTGAGCTAGTTGTGCCCTCCACAACAACTTGGCTGCTCCCCTTCCCTAATTCCCCAACACTGTTCCCCTTCCCCAATTCCCCAGTAAAAAAAAAATCAGCAACCTCTCACTGCTGGGGATATACCCAAAAGTGAAAACAGAGACTTATATTTGTACACTCATGTTCATAGGAGCGTTATTCACAATGGCCAAAAGGTAGCAGCAACCCAAGTGTCCACTGACAGATGAACGGATAAACAAAATGTGATATATATAATGGAATATTCCTCAGCCTAAAAAGAAAGAATACTCTGACAGATGCCACAACGTGGATGAACTTTGATGACCTTATACAAAGTGGAATAAGCCAGTCATAGGACAAATATTGTATGATTCCACTTATATGAGGTCAAATTCATAGACACAGAAAGTAGAATGGTGGTTGTCAGAGACCAGGGAGCAGAGGAAATGGAGGGTTAGTGTTTAATGGGGACAGTTTCAGTTTGGGAAAATGAAAAACTTTTTAAGATGAAAGGTGGGGATGGTTACACAACAATGTGAATGTACTTGATGCCACAGGTTAAAATGATAAAGTTTATGTATATTTTATCACGATAAAAAAAATCAGCAACTTCCGATTCTAATTTTGCAACTGCCTCTGGCTTATGTCACTAAGCAATCTTCCCCCCTTGCATTCCATGTCAACTTTAGAGATGCTTTTGCTCTTTTTTTTTTTAA